AGGGAATGGCAAAGGACACACTGACAAAGGAGATTAATCAGAACTGGCTTTGACAAGCACTGTGGCAATTGGACAATTAAAACAGACATTCAGTGGGGGAGAGAAGAACAAACTGGGGAGGAGGGTAGAGAAAACAGTGCAACAATGAATGAATGAGAACCCAAAATCTCTGTAAATGTTCATTAAAACTAATAAAATTTAATAATAATAATAATAAAATAAAAACCCAGGGAACTAATGACTGAACAAGGAGGGACGCAAAACACACAGATCGACCAAGGACTTGGAGTTGGCGCCTTGTTCAATGTTATAACTTTAACACCTTGAATAGCATCATATACACTGTAGACTTGAAAATATTTCTTGAATTGATAAATGAATCATAATAAAAGTCTGCCTTCATTAAAAAAAAAAAGGAAAGAAAGACTTAAAAATAAAAACCCACTGACTGCAAAAAAAAAAAAAAAAAAAAAAGAACTTAGTCCCCTGGCCTTTCTCTCCTTTCTGTCACAGACCCAGAGGGACAGGGTCTAGCCTGGGCCCCGGGGACACTCTGGGGAAAAGTTAGCTCAGAACCAAAGCCCTGACATCTAACCTGTCATCAATTCAGGGCCTCCATTAAAGTCATAAGACAGACCATCTTGCCTTCTTCTGAGAAGCGTATTGGACAACACACGGCTTTACACAGACAGGGCTCAGAGGGGACAGGCCATGTGACAAGAGCACATAGAAACATCAGATGTGAAGACCAAATGCTCATTTGGTGGTCATCATGATCGCCACCTCTTTGAGGTAGTTGTGGGGAGTCTCTGCTGACTGAGGTGAGGAACTGCTGACATCCTCCCCCACAACCAGGCTCCTAGGAGGCAAGTTACAGTGAACATGGTCTCAGGTGGATTCTAGTGGCCACTCCAGACTTGCATCATCAAGAACAGACACAAGATATATAGATACATCGAGAATATTCTGATAGGTCAGGAAGGCCTCAGCTCTCTGTTCTTCCAGATGCCTATTATTCACAGTACACGAAAGTTTCAGTCAAACAAGAAGGGACAATATTCGAATGACAGATTCTGCTTCTAACCAGAGCTTGGTGAGAAAACCTATCCAAAGCACCTAAACTAACAAACAGTACTCCGAATCCTGAGTTCAAGGCTCTCCACTCCACAGTCTGTTTCAACAGGGACAAAGGGACCCATGCAACAGTGGGCAGTTCATCTGTGGGAAGTGATTTGCATTGAAAGCAAGTTTATTAAATAAGCTGCTCCTCCTGACTCTAGATCAAGAGCACTCTCTTTTTGATCACTTTTTCCCTAGTTTCTAATTCAATTTAGATCACATCTGGGGGGTTTTTTGTTCTACATCAAGCTAGCCAGAGTCTGGAGCGTGACCTTCTGCTGAGAATCTTCCGAATGAAGACAAAATCTACCCTGCAATTTCAGATCCTGATCAGGGCTACTTCTTACTCACTGTTCCACCACTTAAATAAAAATAATTATCACCTCATTTGTGTTTGTGCTGAAGTATCTTAAAGTACATCATATTCAAGGTGTTCGTGGCTTCCCTCAAGACAATGGGCACCTTGATTTTCTGGTTGTTGAGCTCGGAGACCCTTGGGGTCCTCCCATCCATTCGTTGCCCATGGACCTATCTGGAGCCTCTCACTGACAGAAGACACCTGGGAACTGGCCACTGTGTGGGGCCCAGGACATAATGCAGAACTAACCCTGCCTCCTGGGGTGTTCCATCTCAGGTGTGGGACAGGGATATTGCCAATGCGATAATCAGTGTATCCTTTCACTAACTTTCCATAGCGAGGAATACAAAGCTCCGGTGAGGATAAGAAGTCATCTCATCTCAGGTCTGTGAAGTCTTGTAGAGTGTAGCCACCTCCACTCGTGGTTTTGCCACCAGGGGAGTTGTGGTGGCCTTGTGCCATGGTTCCTGATGACGTGACCTTGGGGGATGTGATGGGTGATGGGTGAGGGTGGCTGTTAATTTGATTCCCAGTGACATACTGTGGCAATTTTGCAATGATAAAGTTCTCCTCTACTTTGTGATAGAATGCAAACATCGTGATGCTCTGTGATGTCATCAACAAATCTGTGGTGAGGAGAGTTTTATCGGAGACATGGCCTGTATGAATGATACGTGATCACGCTGGCAAAGCTAGCTGACTTTCTGCTTACCCTGCATTCAATTGGCCATCACATGACAGAAACCCTTGAGATTTAAGGCACCGGCCAGCTGGATTGCCGGCAGATTTTGGGTTTATCAATCTCTGCAGCTACATAAGGCAGAAAAAGCCTTCAGCCAGACATCGGACCCAGGGAAGTGGGGGCTGCCAGCCTCTACAATTTCATGAGCTATTTCCTTGAGATAAATCATTGTTGTTGTTGTTGAATGCTGTTGTATCATTGTGGTCTCATCGTGACCAGGTGTGTAACACAACAAAACACTGGCCTGGCCTGTGCCAGCCTCATAGTCATCGTCATGTCTGAGCCTGTCGCTACAGCCATTGTGTCAATGTATCTTGTTGAAAAGTCAT